ACCCGTACCCGTAAGTTAAAGTTAACGTACGTACCGTACGTAGGTCGTCGTTCGTCGCGCGCGCGTACGGTCGGTCGGTACCCGCGACCCCCCCCCCCCCTCCGTACACGCCTCTGAATGGTCTGGACTCTATCGGGTATATGGGATATAGGTTAAAGCAAACAGAACCAATGCAATGTTTCCTACAACAGTCAGAATAATTTCGGACATTTATTACATCATGGGATAACAAGTTTCGTCATGTGTCGTGGAAACATGAAATCAGCTACGCTAACCACGTTCAATGACAGTTCTAAACAAAAATGCTTTTCTAGAGGTTACTGCTAACTGAAAACAGCATAACGTGAAATGTTCGACATACACATACACCAGATTACTATGTGTGCCACTAGTACCACTTCACCACTCAATCTGAACTTATAGAAATGTGTTAAAGCCAGTGCTAGGATCTGCTAAATGTACACACACACACAAGTAAGAACCAAACCATGCCACCGACCCATCCCACTCAAGCTTCCGTTTTTTTGTTGAAACTTTGACCACCAATGTTTTATTCGAGGCCCGATTAATATAACATTAACAGACTTGAAAATATACTTCATCCAGCATAATGGTAAACTGAGTTTATGAGATTGCAGATAAGAATCTACACTGTTGGTGTATTTATCGAAATACATGAGCAAGCACATGTAACAGCAAACACGTCGACACTCATCACAACTTTATTAGCTGTGATATTACTATAAATACATAATTTATATTACCGGGTGTGGAAAATGCAAACAGATTTTTCAAGAAACAGCCATTTTAAATCTACTATCCAACTAAGACGACTAGTGCATCAGGTATGTACTGTATATCCATACAAAATGAATTTCATGGCATGCAGTTATATTCAGCTGCAAAAATCACCAATGGCACCGGCACCACTTAGGTTCAGATCAAATATTGAGGATGAAATCCAACAAGTATTCGCTTACAGGTAACCGACTTTATCCATACATAAACAATCGCATGTTACTGCCTAACGTTGTTCCACATATTTGGTTGGAAAACATTTATTAATTTCAAGCATTTCTACTACTACAGTACTACTCATTGTCATCGTCAACAACTAGCCACGCAGATGTGTATGCAGGACGTACAACATTGTGCTGGGAGCCACTTCAAAACTTGTCGACTTGAGTTGCCACAGGGCTACACGAATTATAACTCGTTCATCATCAACTTTAGCTCACCGATGGCCTTAGCCGGATTCAGACCCTGCAAGACAATTACAAACATTGGCAACAAAAATCTTACACCACTGTTGTTTCGACTACTGCCTATACAAACTATAATTCCACAATCAGCATATCAGTGTACTTTTTACGACTTGGTTTCTGAACCTAGCAATGATGGATACCCACATGATAAGCTTGATTGCCAAGTTGCACAGAGAAGGAATGTATACTGCAAAGTAAACCCATTAATGCTTTAAGATATAATATAACGCAAACAAGCGAAACGAGAGGTGAACTGATGGGAAACAGCTGATTCATCGCTAACACCGTCTACCTTGGGGCAAGCTGCAGTGCAGTTGAGGATGGTATGACAGCGGTAGACAGTGAACTTATCCCTCATCTGCGACAAACGCTTCGCTCGCTCCTCATCCCTCGAATCGATGATCCATCGATATGCCTGCATCAACACAGCGGGACCTGCAACGTATAAACCACACAATGACATTACACGATAAATACATCTTTTATTCGACGAACCTTGTAGCAATAGCACTGCTTCACTGTAATAGATCTATAGATGAATACCGCCTCCTCCAATAAATAAATCCTAGTACCTGATGGCAGGTTACTCAGGCATTTTTCGGCATGCAATACAGATATGGAGTACGTCACATTATCCTCTAAATTACTATAGTGAAGTTTAAGCATAGCAACTGCTTAAAGCAAAGCAAACAAGAGAACAAAAGAACAAGAGAACAAGAGAACAAAGCAAACAAGAGCAATCAGAGATAGCTCCCAATATAGAGTTTGATGAAATTTTTCGAAATTTGAAAAAAAGATTAAACATTTTTTTTTTTAATGAATTTTGAATGCATCCGAATTCTTCCCCACAAAAAAAATCAAAAAAATCCTGGATCCAGATCTGGATCCGGATCACCATGAAAAATTCTAATTGATTAGTTCTTCAAAACCAACCCGTGCAAAAAATCTCATCAAAATCCGTCCGTAACTTTTTGAGATATCCTGTTGACAGACTAACAAACAAACTAACAGGGGCGAAAACATAACCTCCTTGGCGGAGGTAATAAACAGTAATAGTCGAGACGAACCCAAGTACTTGTCTGCACTCCACCAGTAGCTGGGACAGGAAGTCGAGCAACATGCACACAGGATGCACTCATATAATCCATCCTGAAAGAAGCAATAGAACACTTTCCTTAATAAATGGCACATAACAACATGTTGAGAAATGCAACTGCAATCATTTTCAAAGCTTTGCTTACATTAAAATTTCCATGAAACGTAAGTTTTACACAGAGTGCCTACACCAATCAATGGCCACGCAAATACAAACAGATGTAATAACCAGAAGTTGCTAAATAATATTATAGATAGTAGTAAGTAGGATAGATAGACCATAAACATTTATATTCTATATAAGTATTGGCTCTCACAATCTACTAGCCAAGTACGTGACACTTGCATCCTGCCTATATACACACCAGTTTGTCCCGATCTTCGACAGTCTGGTGGTAAGCTTCCTTGCCAATATTGGCTTCATCTTTCTTTTGCAGCCACGGCTGGATGGATGCATACTGCGCATAGAAGTTGCTGAAATCCTGCCATGGGAAAACATGTGTAAATGTAATAACTGGTACTCAAAATATGCCAACGTTTAATATATAGCACAATCACAATTCTCTAAACATGTATATAAATACAATATATATATATATATATATATATATATATATATATATATATATATACTACTACACTACTATACTATATATATATACTAACACTACTAACTAACTAACTAACGTACGACGTACGTACGTTAAGTACGTACGT